TGATCTTTGAGGTCCCTTCCAACTGTAACCAAAAAAAAAAAAAAAAGACAAAAAAAGACATGATTTGTGTGAGAAAGAATATAACTTCATACCCAGCTATCGAGAAAGTAGTATTCTTTTTCCGATGTGCCTATAAAAATATACAGTCAGATCTGAGGTCATTGAATCATGAGGTTAAACATGTATGACTCATTCAGATACTAGTGATTTTGTGGTGATATGGGCTGAATGATATGGATTCTAGTCTGTTTAAAAGTTCAGTTTGAATGGATTTAAAGAAAACAGTGTTTGAGGGCAGAGCATGAGTCATACATGTTGCATCACGATGCTTGTTTTGCCGTTCTACCAGCTTTTTTGATAGACAAAGGTTTAAGATTCAGTTGTGTGTTTACTCTTGCTAACTAACAGAATGCTGACCAAGGGTATGCCACAAAAAGCTGCTTTGCTGTAGAGCAGTCCTTGGAGGAGAGGGGAGTACAATTATCTGTTGGGTTTGGTTTTGTTTTTTTTTTTAATATTTACAGTAGCACTGATTCAGTTAGTCAACTGGGCTACCTTGGAGTTATTAGCCCTGGTATTGAAACATTTGCAGTAGCAGTAACATTAAAATGGGTTCCTTGATATTCCAGTAGTGTAGAAGTAGGAAGTTTTGATTTGCTGTTGTCAACAGTGAGTTCAGTGGGGCATGAGACCTCTACTGAATGCATTTCTATAAAGTTTCTCTTCAGAGATTTCTAAGTGTCTTAGATCTAAGGCAGAGAGAATAAAGTGGCAAATGGTTCTCTTACCTGAGGGGCAGTGGAGGCAGGTCTTTTAAGTGTCAGAGTGAGATAGCTGGAAGGCTTGCACTTGGTATTTTCTGACTTTATCTTGTGCTCAAAAATTGGATCCGTAAGCCAAGTTTAATATTTCTAAAGCTGATGGAGGAAGTGGTGGAGAAGGGAGATTGGTATTTGATGCTCAGTGAAACAGAACTAGTTTGACAAGAATTCTCCTGACCTTTTTAAAAGGGTTGATGTGATCTGTATTTGATTTGAATATTACCAATTGAGAGCTAGGAACTGAGTTTTACTTGATGCAGATAATCCAGAACAGGAAGAGGTGCTTTGGCTGTGCTGACGAGGGTCAGAAGCAGTCTATAAAGAAAGGAGAAGCCAGATAGCTTAGAAGAGTTGTACTCGTGGGCTTTTATCTTTCTTACGATGTAAAACCTTTTATCTTTGTTATGGTGTGAAACCTGGCAGTATCATTTACTACATAGTCTATATTTCAGACTGGCAAGTGGCTCTTGCTTCCACAGAGGATCAAACCTAAAAAAAATACAAAACCAAAACCAAACCAAAACAAACCAATGAAACAGCAGCAGCCTGCCAAGACTGTATATCCTATTCATTGGTACTTCCCTCCGGCTAGACACACCATAGGAAACAAGAACTATTCGTGACTTTATCTGTCAATTTTATTTAGCACAGTTTTTTATATTCCTTGTTAAGTCAAGAGAACCAAAGGAGCTAAGCATCAAAGCAAGATAGCCTCTCCCTCTGCTGAATTACTTTTGATTGCATGTATTTATTTTGGGCTATTCTACATTATGTGGTACCTTTTATAATCATGTTGTTGCACTACTGTTGCTGAGAATTGAAATCAGCTTCTGTTTGTGTTTAGATCCAAATCCTGATGTGAAATGAATACGGACTTCCGCAAACTCCTTTTTGACATTTCTGAGGCTCTGGTCACAGATGAACTGGCGGCTCTGAAGTTCCTCAGCCTTGAGCACATACCCATGAGGAAGCTGGAAGCCATCCAGGAGCCCAAGGCCTTCTTTGAAGTGCTGCAGGAGAAAGACATGATCCAGGTGGGGAGCCTGTCCTTCCTGAAAGAGCTGCTCTACCGAATCAATCGTATGGACCTCTTAGCTGCCCACCTGGGCTCCAGCCGAGAGGAGATGGAGAGCGAGCTTCAGACCCCAGGCAGGGCAAAGGTGTCAGCCTACAGGTAAGCACAGAAGTAGTAAACCTTATACATCAGTTTTATTGTGTACTGTCTTGTTTTCTGTCTCCGCTGTTGTCTTAAGAATATCCTAGCACAATTGTATTTATTACAGCATGACTACCTTCCATTTTGAGTTTTACATTTTGCAGTTCAAATATGTAATTGTGTGTTTACTACTCATAACTTTCTCAATCAGGCTTTCTCTATTCTTTATTGCCAGGCAACTGCTATATGAAATTGCAGAGGACTTGACTCCAGAAGATGTCAAGAGTGTGAAGTTCCTGCTCCAAAAACAAATACCAAAGAACAAGCTCCAGGATAATGCTGTATGCAAAGTGATCTTGATAAGTTTCTTGCAAGGCTAGTTCAGAGACAGGCAGTTCTTGTAAGAAGGAAGGAAAGATAAAACAGTCTTGTCTCACTAAAATTTGTTGTTGAAAGAATTGTGGTGTTAGCTGCTGTGTGAAAGAATGGACCCTTTTTTTTT